GCTCAGGGAGTATCCCTCCATGTGGGATGGGCTCCTAAAGTCAATTCCTATGCTAGGGATAAGTACTGATCTGATACAAGGGACCCCATTGATTTCTGACGTCTCCTCACTGACACCCACATTCAGGGGGTCTATATCAGTCAGATACTGGTTTCCCAGCTATCAGTCTGGGGACCAAGAGCTCTCCCTTGTTCAGGGTAGCTGTTTCTGTGGGTTTCACCCACCTGGTATGGACCCCTTTGCTCATCAGTCCTCCTTCTCTGCAACTGGATTTCAGTTCAGTTCAAGGTTTAGTTGTGGGTGTCTGCTTCTATTTCCACCAGTTGTTGGATGAAGGCTGTAGGATGGCATATGAATTAGTCATCAATCTCATTATCAGGGGAGGGCATTTAAGGTAGCCTCTCCTCTGTGGCATAGCAGATGATTTTCTTGAGATTTTGTAGGTAATACAGTTATAAAATGTATGTCTGGCACAAACAGTCCACATATATGACAGTGGTCCTCTAATGCCCCAATGCAACTGAGAGATTCCTATCCCTAGTAACATTATCATGTTGTAGCACAACAGGTTAACCATATGTTTGTGGCATTGTTGGTGTACTCATACCTAGTATATTGCCAATCTTGTAAAACAAATTGCATGTATAAATATGCTTATTGATATGTGATATGAAATACTAATAATAATACTGGCATATGCATTTTTCTACCATTTTTTCTTAAAAGTGTACTATTTCTATTCATTAAAAATTGTTGACTGTTATACCTTAGAAGAGGGCAACCTCATTGATATTGGTGTTTACCATTTCCCTTCATTTTCTCTTGTGCTTTATTCAATCTTAAGTCCATGCAAATATTTGCAATGAAGTCACACAATAGAATTCTCTTGCGGTGAATTTCTCTTGACATACAAACCCCACATCATCATGTAAACCATGCCAATATTTTGAAAATACTAGTTATTTATTTGTTGTCAACTTAATCTTTTATTAGACACTGTGAATATGCCAGCATTATACTCCACACAAGGTGTGGACAGCAAACCCAGGATGCCATGACTCTTGAGTTGTTTACAACCTGGTGGGAGATGCCTACAGTCCCAGGATTATTTTCAAGCAAATGCAGTTTAATTATTTTAATCATAACAAGCCATGAAACTTGTGTTAGAAGTGCATCTGGAAAAGGAATGTGGCTTTCACTTTAGTAACTCCCCATGGAAACCATCTGAGAACATACTGTACTCAAAATGTCAGAGACAAGAAATGAAAAAGACCTAGAAATAGAAAGGGATAGAGAAAAGGGGTAAGCAATGTGGGAGAAGAGAGTAAATGCAGAAAGAAGCAGAGTAGACAAGAGATTTCAATACATATCAATAAAATGGAAACCTCAGATATGAACTGGACATAAAAGAGTTATTTTATATTTTAAACATTTGCAAATTGTTTAACTTCCATATTTTTTCTGAAGTGTGTGTGTGTGTGTGTGTGTGAGAGAGAGAGAGAGAGAGAGAGAGAGAGAGAGAGAGAGAGAGAGAGAGAGAATATAGCTAGCTGTAGCTTTCAGTTGTTGTCTTTGCCGGAATGTTTTACAAGATCAGTATCCTCTCTCCTTTGCCATGACAGCCAACATAACCATAGGTCTGGTTTTTATGCCCTTACAGGCAACAGTCCCTGAGGGAGGAGGGTGCTTCAACCTCCATCTTGTTCCACAAGCTCCAGAAACTCATGTGTCTGTTCTCTCCTGCTGTGACAGGCAATAATTTTATGCCTGCTTAAAGCAAATATGTCCACATAATTCCATGGAGATTCCTCAAATATTTCATTGTTTTCTTGTTTATATTTGTTATTGATGGTAATTAAATGACATCAAATAATAGGCCATAACTAAACAAAAACAAATAATAGTTATGTAATTATTGAACTCTAGGTGGAATGCTTTAGAATAAGATGCTTGCACTTAATAGCCAATTTAATCCTGATAATTTCATGTCATAAATATTTGTGTTAGCTCAGTTGAAGAAATTTAAGAAACAAGATCATTGAATGTGGCCAAACCATTGACTGTGTGCGTGTGTTCATGTATGCAGTCACATGCATGTGTTGTGGCAACAGTTTAATAATTAATACAGCATCTATGTGTGTTTATTTGGACCTGAAGCAGCTGTGGGACCTGTCGGGACAAAGAAAAACACCAGCAGCATGCATGTGTACAAGTAGACATGAATATGCATGGTAAGAGGAAATCATTAGGTGATTTCTCAGGATTTATACTCATTTTTATGTATTTACTTTTGAGATGTTGTCACTCACTGTCCTAGATTTTCTACTGTCCAAGTAGACTTTCTGGTTGGCCAGAAAATTCCAATGATCTTCCAGCCTCTGCCTTCCCTGCAGGGGCCTTACAAGTGCATGCATGTCACCATGCCACTAATATGGGTTCTGAGAATCAAATTTCAAATTAAGGTCTTGCTTACAAGTCAAACATTTTTACCAACTAAACTATGTGCACAGTCCCTTTACTTTTGTTAATCAAAGCTCAATTATGCTTGGATTAACTTGTCTTTTCAAAGTTCACTAGATGTACATCCTGATAAAGTCATCCTAAAATATTCATTATTTTTACTTTTGGAAATTGAATTTCTTCACACCTCTGGGTGTCA